TTTTGGAGGAGAAGTCACAGCTCTCTGCCTTCTTTCCTGGCCGTGACATAGGTCTACAGTTGCTTATGGGACTTTGGGGATATTGCAAGGCCTTTTCTGTTGAATTTCTGTGTAATTCCAAACAGTGTGAACTTTTCAAATCACTTGAGAAGTGCCCCAGATGGTGTGACATTCTGCTTCATGGGAAGATTTGAAAGTATTCCCTTTGCATAATTTCTGGTTAACTATTTCATTACATTTGAAATGGGAGAATAGCAAAGCCAAGAACTCTGTTGACATTTTGGTGGTGTTTGTTTAACCTCCTAGTGCACAGGCTACATTTGTTAAAAAATATTATTCTTACCTTTGCAAATCATCAGTAATTAATTCCCTTGGAAATATCTACTGCTGTACACAGCCGGCTTGGGAGGCTGCTGACAGATCGTAGTTTTACATCAGGTGCTAACAAATTGATTATTAAATTTCATAACTAACTGATTTATAGCAACAACTTAATTTCTGTGTCTCTCTAATGTATTTGCTTATTGTATTTTCCAATAGTGCAGAGGAATTGGATTGCGTAGTTGCTTCTAATGGCAAATTTAGCATAGCATGTAAGATCTGAATAACTTGCCTAGCGCAGGAATTAGCTAGCGATGCATCACACGCTTGTGAAGTGCACAAAATGGTAAATATCTCAGCTGAAAAACATCTACTGTTAAGGGTGTCCCTGTTAATTCCACTTGCTCTTTGACTCTCACTAAATCCAAACTATGCTTACCAAGATAGTAACTGTAGCGCTTGCACTTCAAGCACTGTGTTCCTCAGTCTCAGTCATGCTGTCAATGATAAGAAACAGTGACTATATGCTATGATGAAGCAGCTGATGTTCAAGTCCCAGTACATGCTTAAATTGTAATGGTAAAACACATTAGCTCACTTGGTGTGATGTAAGTCACTGACTGAAGACATTTTAAGGAGGCATAGGGGTAAATTTTCAAAACACTGCAAGGTTTTAACTATACAGTGTTTCCAGAAATACCAAATAGGAGTCACGGTTAAACAGAGCAGCTTGCTAACGTCAATGCCAGGAGTAAACACTACCAGAAAATTTTGCTTTGCTGCTGACATTTTTTTTGTTGGTTTTAGTTGTGCTTTTGAGGTAGAATTACAAACAGTTTTAAAGTGAGGGGAGTTTTTTTTCTTGGGCTCAGGAGGAAGCCTAATGTAGATCACAGCAGTGTTTTTAATGAACTTGTGAACAAGGTCGTAGTCCTGTTATCACTTCCAACTCCTCCTGTCATAAAGCAAAGCTGTAGTGCCAGATGTGTGGTGTGAATTGTCATGTATCTTAAAAATTTTGCTCCTGCATAATGATACGTTCACTGATACGGAGCTCGGCACCGCTGAGATTAGAATCTGTCGTCTGTGGCTAAAATTCGTAACTCTGAGACGGCTGTTACATAGGTAATCTCATTCATTTCCTGGCGTGAAAATGTCCGGCTCACAAAAACGTACATGCCAATTTACAGTAATGGAGCCTTGCTAGCAGCCTGACTAGGGAGACCAAGGACTTTATGGCCGTGGATGCGGAGCCAGCGCGGACGGGGCTGCTTTCCGCGCCGCGATGCAGCCCAGCGGCACTTTATTAACGGATTGATGCTGCCCTTGAGGTTTCTGTTCTGTGGTGTTTTCCTGAAGATGGTTTTAGACCATTTAAAAGCACAAACACTGATTAAAAATAAAGTAATTCTGAAAGGGAATCCGATGTTACCTTTGCACTAGGATATCAGTTTAAAATGTTTCTGATTTAATTGTTATATTCCTTCACAGATAGCTTTTATAGGACATTGTAAATATCTGTAACTTCAGTCTCTTAAATTCCAATTATGTTTATGTAAAAAAAAAAAAATTAGAACAAAGATGTTATTTGAAAAATTACAAATCTCATGAAAAAGACTGAAGCATAATTTTCTTTCTGCTGTAAAGCTGAATTAAATGCGCTTACAATTTAAAATGGACCACACTTTATAGTTTTATAATTCTTGAATCCTCTTTTTAATTAGTCGAGCTGGCAGATTTAGGTATCGAGTGTGTATTTCACCTCTGGTAGTTTTTGTGGACTTAGTATTAATGAGGGCTATTACAGCCTGGATAGGTGGCGTAGGGCAGAGGTTCATGCGTGGGTCCGTTCTGTCTCGGTGTCGCCCGTCACTTCAGAGCACGTCGTTCCATGCAGCTCGGCTCACCCATCAAACCGAAGGACACCTGCCAGTACTATTACACTTGTTATGCCTATTGTATTTGGAATTCACAGTGCAGTGTCATGTGATAATGTCATTGTCTAGTAATAACTGCAAAAGAAAAAAAAAAAAGTTTTGTAGTTGAGGTCGATGGGAAGACTTCTACCTGTCTCCTTTGTGACTCACTTTCCTGTCTTTCACTTAGGCGGGAGCCGTGTGCGCGTTAAAGGGCAGCACTTGCCCTTTGTGGATCTGCATATTTCACAAAGGAGGCAGCTATAAGGCAGCAATCAGGTTAACACGCTCTGCCTTATGCTAGTTATATGCTATATCACAATTACCAAGTAGAATAGTAATCCCTTTAAAAATTGCCATATTTGCTTTTGGAGGGTATTGTGGTAGTATTTTTTTTTTGTATTACGGAAGTGCTGATGAGGCTCAGTTCTCAAATGGGAGGCTTTTATACCAGAAACTGCATCTATGTAGAAGAAACTTGTTCCTTTCCTAGCAGATTTACAAATCTGTAAATTAATTCTTGCCAGAGCTTTTCAGAAACTTTCAGAAGAGATGCTGAATCATGCAAAATGTGTGCACATGCCCTCTCGATCTTCATGAGGCTTTGTTTTCCTCCTGGCAGATGCAACTTGAACGGGCAAAACGAACAGAGGTTAGAAATGAATACTGGCAAAACAGCACTTGGCAGAATACTGGCAAACATATTTTTGATAAAAACATGCCACAAATGGTCTAATACCTTTTTAAAAATATAATCTTGAGTATCTTGGTAAACAGCCTGCCTCAATTTTATTCCCTTCATGCAAGCACAGTGTGCTGAGTGGGATTGCAAAGATGAAAAAAGCAATGACTTTTTGCAAGTCAGTTTGAATAGAAACAGCGACTCTTGCCTTTAAAAGGGCACGCTGCTTTATCTTCGATGTCTTTTGCCAGGTGTAGAATGTATGAGAAGATACTATGAATCTAAGTTTCACTGCCCAAAAAGAAAATCAGAAATTCAACCCTTCAGAAAATGAGCTTCCCGAAGTCCATAAAATAGATGTTTCATACTGCTTCTGAGACTTTTTATTATTTTTTTCCAGATTGGCACAGATACTAGATTGTTAACTTCGTATTAAACAACACTATATTGGTAACTTCTCCACGGACCTGAAGTTGAAATTTATTTTAATATGGAAATGTAGCGTACTGTTTATATCAATGATCATGCAGCTCTCTCAGTATTTGACTGAAGTACATTTGATTCCCCCAGAAATGTTTTTGAAAACTAGGCTATCAAATTCTCGGATTTTCAAACATACCTGAAGGAATCTAATTCACTTAGAGTTGTTTGACAATCTGAGGCTTCATTTTTCACATGCTTTTCCAGAATTGCTTTTGCAGAAGCTCAGAGTTGAGATAAATGTGCCTTTCAACCATGTAGGAAAATGATCCTGACTTTGTGTCTCTTAGTTTTTTTTGTGTGGTTGGGCTGCAAGGAAGTACTTGAAAAGAACAGAAGGCAAGCAGTTCTTTTTCCTTCACATCAGTTTGCTGAGTGGGAGACCCTAGAACTGGGTAAGGAGACACGGTTGCTTCTGTTTTTATCATGAGATTTGGCCAACTATGGTGAAGACATAATAGGCTGGAACAAGCAAAACAAACAAAGGTGACAGATTTTATTACTGTGGTATTAGGACATCCCAGATATTGGTACATGGTTAGTGAAGGGGTGAAAAGTATTTGTTTGACAGTCATTACTCTGTGTGATCCATCTGAGGTCTGAGAAGCAGAGCCTTTCCCGGATTTCATAAGTATTCAACAAAAGATGAGAAAAGCCAGCAAAGGTGTTTGTCCTGGATGTTGGTTGGAGATTGAGAAGGCTGCAAGGTGGCCAGCATCCTGACATTACAGTGGAGTTGTCAAAGAAGCTGAAGGTTTCTAAACTTGAGTTTTGACTGTGAGATGTATATGGCAGGTTCTCTTCCAGTTTAGTTGGAATGGTAAAATCTTACCTTTTACAAAGCAGATTAGGAAAACTTCATTTCAAGATGCCTTAATCATAGCTTCTCTATAGAAACTGGGTTAGGTGACTTCAGTGGAGGAGGACTGCGTTTCGTAGATCTCATAGGTATTGTTTGCAGTCCACCAAAAATTACACCTACTGGCATTTTCCAAGGAAGATGTTTTTATTTTCCAACCCAGTCTTTTTAAACTTCTTATATTTTAACAGAGTACTTTGCAAGCCTCAAAGGAATAAAATGTGCGGGCATAAGCATTATTGCAGTCTAGCTTCTTTTCTTAATTCCTTTTCCTGTTGTTTACTGAGAGGACTAGTGACTTTCTACAATATCTGGAGCAAAGTTACTCTAGTCTACTCTTATAGACCAAAACTTTTCCTTCCTCCTTCTACTACTGCAATGGTTTGATAACATCTGGTTGAATGGATGGGACGTAGGGTATTCCTGAGCCATATTTATTTATATAAGTAAAAGAATCTGATCTGCCCATGCATGTCAGCTCTCCATTCAGTAGTCACTATTGTTCTGAATGGTCCAAATTTACAGAGATTGTGATGGTCCTCCAGTGCTTGGTTCTAGAGATGCCAAGTGTTACCATTCTAGTTGCTGTTTTTGGAGGAGGTGGAAAAGCTATGCGACCTTGTCCTGGTGGGCATCTTGAGATGACATGTTGACCTAATTCACACAAAAATGTAATTAATGTATTCCACTGAGCTTTTTTCTCCTTGGTTTAATTTTATTCTGTAATACTTTGATTATTCAGGCCTCTTCACATACTGATCTGCAATGCTGCCATTTTTGGTGCTCCATGGTGCTTGACAGAAGATGACCTGGAGTCCACCTTCCAGGTGAATCACTTGGGGCATTTTTATCTTGTCCAGCTCCTTGAAGATGTTCTGCGCCGTTCATCTCCTGCAAGAGTAGTTGTGGTATCCTCAGAATCACACAGGTTGGTTAATGTTACAGTATACTTTTGATTTATCTGAAATTTGCAGTCTTTGGAGCTGAAAACTGATATGGCAGAACTTCATTGGAAATAAAGAACTTTTGAAAAATGAAAGGCCCTGCTCTAAAGCATTAGAGCATTATTGGTATAATCTGTTGGAAAATAGAAGGTTCACTAATGTTTGTGGATGTTACTAGATCTGGCTCTATTGCTGTATAAAGTGTGCTCTAGTTTTATAATATTGTGTAGGTATTTTTTGATCATTCTTTGTATGAATGCAGATTTTCACTTCATTTCAGACCACTCATTGATTTTGCTAGAAGATGGAATAATAATTGATTAAATCTGAATGGCATGACCTATATTGATTTGTCATTCAACAACTTCAACATCTTACCAAGAAGAATGTGCAGTTATTTTAGTGGGAGAAACAATGCAATTAAAAACTGTTAGATGAAATCCAATTGTTTTATAATGAGAAATTAGGGAATTCAATGCAGACATTAGCTGTATAATTGTAAAATGGCAAATACTGTAGTTAATAACATATTAGAAATCTGGCCATACCTCTTTTGGTTATAATTTCAGTTAAAGTACTAGATGCTTATCTTTCCTATTGCAATGAGAATTGCAGTTGCCAAAAAAGACAGTATGAGGTTTTGCCTTATTTCAGACATGCTTGTGGTGTCTGTTTAGAATTGTATTAATAACTGAAAAGAAGGACTTCATTTAAATAAGAAAGCTAGTTATGCAAAATGAATGGCTCCAATTCTGAAATTTAGCATGTATGAACCACTTACTGGCTTCTGATTTGGTTCAGGGACTGCAGGATTAGACTCATAATGTTCAGCTTTAAACATTACTGTTGATTTCTGTTTCACTTTTGGTTGTATGTAAGAGCTTTAGCAAAACAAAAAGAAAAATGTGTGAGTGCTCTCCCCCCGCCCCAATATTTCTGAAATGTTTTAGTGACCCAGAATGAAGCTTTTTTTTTTTTTTTTTTTTTAATCATGTTTCCATAAAATGTAACCCCAGGGACCTGGTAGAGAGAGACCAGCCAAGGGTCAGGCTGAAACCTTTATCACTTCCAAACACAGGGGCTTATGGTATAAATGACACACTGCAGATAGATTTACTTTTACCATTTTAAATTTAGGATGGCTGAAATGAAAGGAAGCAATAGAAAATGCTAGTAATAATCCTCCCCAGTGTTAAAAGACATGAAATGTCTAGTAATTAGGTGGTAACAAAATCTGGACACCCTTATCTTTGCAAATCACACCAGGTTTGTGAAAGCAAGTAGCAGAGTCCTGTTAGGAGTGAGGGAGGCTACTGCGGGGCAGGCAAGATAGCTCCAGAAATAAATCTGCCAACTCCAATCACTTGCCAGATGTGGAGGGCACAATGGGATACGTATAAATGAGCTGTTATTTAATGGGAGATTATGTTGAATTGTCAGCTGCTTGTTCCCCTTTGTAAGCTTCTATCTCACACTATTTTAAATGACACCTTTGTTTTTCACTGTATTAAGTGCTATGTATAACTAGAGCTCATATCTCTGCACATCTTTATCTTGTTTTTAAAAACATGTTTTAAAGTGCTTATTGCTAACTCAGTAAGATTAGCCAAAGTTCATAGAAGCGCATCAAAAGAAAGAAAAGAAGGAGCAATCTCTGTTTAAACAGAATAATGAATGCCACTAGTTGATTTCCTTTCTTTAAAGGGATACAATTCATGTACAAATGTCATATCTTTACATTTAAAATGATCCTTGTAAATGACTGTTTTTTTTCTCCTATCTGTTTAATGGCAAGAAGGCTGAGCTAAGGAGTTAGTTTAGACGTTAGCTATTATCGTGTAGTAGTACTTTCTGACCTACTTGAGAGCTCTGAGCCTTAAACTACGTTGTAAAACAGAAGTGTTGGTATCTAATTACTTCCATAAACCTTGGCTGAATCTTTTTGCTGGAGTCAAGACCCCCTGTTAGGGGAAAAATAAAGTCCCGTTTTTGTAGAAAATATTATACTATACCGCTGCAAGGCAAAATATTTATTTGCCTCTCTGGTTCTTCATTCTCTTTTAGTTACTTCTCTGGATTCAGCACAAGTGAATTCTTTTTAAATTAAGCTTTTAGGTAGTTTAAGCACATCATATTAAAATCAGAATAATAAGTAGGTTGACTTTCCTCCCGTCTTTATTTCTGTGCAGTTAATTTGATTGTACGGCCCTTATCCACCTGAATTCAATGAGATTGCCGACCTAAGTAAGATTGACTCACATAAGCACGCTTGCAGGACTGGGCTCAAAATATGCCACTGTGTTTCCATTGTGCAGTACACACAAAGTAGTTTATTTATAGAGTATTGTTGGGCGTTCTGAAAGGTTACTTGGGACATGAATATATGAAATTCCTCCCAGAATAGGCCTGTTAATTTCAGAAATGTATTTTATCTTACTGTGAAAATTATGAAAGAGGAATTTGTTGTTGAAATTGAAGTGCTAATTCTGCAAGATACAGAACATCCTGGATTCCTCTTGAGTTCAAATACTATATAGTTGCTTTTCTCTGGGTGTGTTATAATTCTGCTCACAGAATGAATGTAGAAATTCCAGCTGATCTCTTCATTTCTGGGCATGAGATACAAAATTAGTAAAGATATTTTGAAACATATTTCTAGTGTGTACTATAATTATGTTTATCCCTGCGCTCCCCAGCTGATTCTGAAAACTCTGAGTATCTAAAACAGCTTGCTAAATCCTTTTTATTTTTAGTAGCACTTCTGAGTGGAACATAGGTCTGGAACTAAATGTAGGATTATTTCCTAATATTAACATGTATGAGTAATTTGATAAATCAAACTTGTAAGAATTGGAAAAAACGTTATCTGGAAAATTCCTTTTCTTCATCTAAACGTCTTCAGAACATTCACTACTTTGTTATTTCAAAAAAAAAAAGGGGGGGGGGCGGGAGGAGACAAAAAAAGCTGGTGTTTAATGACTCTGTCAGACCCAATTAAAAAACATCAACTAGTTACTTTGATTTGTGTTCAGCCATGCCATGGGTATACTTAAAAACATTATACTCTGCCAGAACTCATTTTGGCTTTGTTTACATTTATCTTTTAAACATATAAGACTATTGATGGCAAGTTACCAAGGTTATAACCCCTTTATATTCATCAATTTTTAATCTAAAAAAGAGTCTAAGAGGCAGTGAGATTCATCCATAGTTACTTGAACACTTAAATGAAAGTGTACAGTACATGAACACTGGATGGAATAATCAGGGGAAGGGAAGAAGGGGAAATAAAGGAAAGAATGCTGGTTTTCTCTGCTTCTAATGCAGTTATTTCACCTCACATTGTTTACTGTAAGGTAATTGTGCTTTTGTGGGTCTATAGCAAAATCGTTTTTCTGGATTTAGAAGAATGTGATTCATAAACGATGTACAATGTCTTTACATCATTAAAACCCTTTCTGACTTGTTTTAGATATCATTTATTTCTGGTATTTCAGTAATTCTTCTGCCACATTTTATGGGACTATTCCTTTGGCCTCAAACAATTTCCCGTAGATATCTGCAACTCCTAAATAAGCTGTTGTTTTATGTTGGTTCTGGCCAAGCTCTACTCTATTGTCTACATTTTATGTTGTTCTGAACGAGAGCGAAATTAACTCTGGGGTACCTGAGGCATGTTTACTGTTTTTTAGATTTACAGATATTAAAGACTCATCTGGAAAACTTGATTTCAGCCTGCTTTCTCCATCTAAGGAGGAGTATTGGGCTATGCTGGCCTACAATCGTTCCAAGCTTTGCAATATACTGTTCTCCAATGAGCTGAACCGGCGCCTTTCTCCCCATGGGGTGACGTCTAATGCAGTCCATCCTGGGAATATGATGTACTCCTCGATTCATCGTAACTGGTGGGTGTATACCCTGCTGTTTACCTTGGCTCGACCTTTCACCAAATCCATGGTAAGTGAATTATTTACAGTGTTTTACACATCTTTAGTTTGCAGGTCAAGGGAGTGAGGTTATAAAAATCCACATGTATGTATTTGCTTTAATCTTTTGCCTTTTATAACTGCAACCTGACTTCAACGGCAAACGTAGCGTTGAGATAGTGAGTACTCTGGAAAAGGATACTTGAACGATTTTAGGTCAACGTTGTCAATCTTCAGTGAAAGTACCATGTTGGGTAGAGTATGTGACTTCCTTGGAATGTATGATTTTAGCTCGCTGTGGTTAAGGTAGTTTTATATTTAGGTGTGGGATAGTCTAGAGTGCTCAGTATATGTAAACCATCAAAAAATTGCTTTGGTTTTTAAGTGGAATATGCTTAACTGAACTTTTTTATGTAAACAGATGCCCTAGTTAGAAAAGATGCTACAGGCATTAGTAATGACTGAGGGGAAGTGCTTTCAGTGGAAAAAGCACCCTCACTCTTATTCAGAAAAAAAGCAATGATTTTCTTGATTCTTTTTATACGTACTTTGTGCATCTGTGTTTGGCAGATTTATAT